TGTTGTGTGAGACCATGTTTTTTTGTGTCCAGGGGCATAAAACTGAGCCTTACTACAGATTCATGCCGAGAAGATTCCTGAACTGACTCAGCTGCAAATACAAACACTCTAATTTCACCTCTGCAGTCAAAAGCAGCCAAAGATGACTGCCATCATACAGTCTCTTGGGTGGTGGGACTTGAAAACCTTCTTCAACCATGTGTTTTGAGTGGGCCAAGGATGTTCCAGAGTGCCTTTGACACTTTTCTCCCACAGCCTCCTCCAAGTGTAATGTCATCAAGGAGTAAGGAAAATATTTTGTACATTGTTCTATCACTGCTCATGACTACACCCTGAAGCTAACTATATTGAACTGGACTTGTTTCAATGCCAGGGCTCATTTGTGGGCCTGAATTCACAAGGCGCAATCAAGACCTTTGCCAAAGCAACAGAACGGATAGGTATTTTGTCTCCAATATAGCAGGATCAATACAGGTAATCAGAGAGGATGACCAAGTTCTTTCTCATTTTTCTCTACCAAGGCTGACTAGTCCTTTTCAAACCTAGCTGAAAGACATATTTCCTCAGCAAATTGGCCTGAAATCCTTAGTTAAAAATGGTTCATATTCCAAAGGATAAATCAAATGAGATATATTTAAAAAAAAAGGTAAATATATTTTTAAAACCCTTTGAGAGGTTTGTACAAGTTCAAAGGGTATGCCTGGAACTAGAATTTGGTGTTTGTACTAAACTGTTTACTCACAATGTATTATCAGCTTCTTTGTCTGTGGGCACTGTAAAAATGTGTGTGGTCCCCAGTATATACGGGAGAAAGAGCTGGAACTTAAGCTGTCTGTGTTGGTAGCTGCATTTAGTGTTTTTGGTGGGCATTTGCATTATGTTACCAATACCAGAAGCCTTTTCCCAGTCCTGATGCACGTTGCTCCACTTCTGCAGAAGTTCTCATAGAAACTGTTAGAGCTCCACTTGATCTTTCCCTTTCCTTCCTAGCCCCCTCAACCAATTTACGTTCTACAGAATAAATTCTGGCTCACAAATGGAGTCTTGAGTTGAGTTAGATGGCATATAGTATCATTTAAGATTGAATATTACTTTTTATCAATTTCTGCTGGTTATTTTTTGGGGGTCAGTCCTTGCTATTACTGTCCAAAGGTCCTATTGTTCATTTTGTAAGCCTTGGATTATCAATAATGACTGAACCATTTCCAACTATTTGTATGATCTTTCTTGGTCCTATTTCTTCAAGGAAATGAAAAAAAAAAAAAAAAGGTTGTTTTTCTTGGAATAATAAAGACACTGATAAAACTACCTCCAAAGTACCTGCTAGTACTTAGAATTGGGGATCAGTGTATATTAAATACCTTATGCATAGGAAAAGAAATATCCTTGATAAATTTGCATATCTTCCCTCACTCAGCTACTCTCTCCAGTGAGATTGTTCCTGAATTTCCAGGGTAATTATGTCCTGTTTCTCAGTGACCCACTGACAGGAGGGAAGGTCTTATGCATAGACTAGCCTTGTACCATACAGGATATTGCTCTGGTTTTTCTATTGCTGTCAAGAGTGCAATGATAAATTAATTAACAATAAATTGTTGACACACAAAAGCTACTGCTGTTTTCTCATGTACTTGAAGAATCAACACGGGGCACCTATACAGCAGATTTTGTCTACTTCAAAACAAGAAAGATGAGGCAGGAATTTGTGGGATACCTGTTTTAGTTTGACAGGTTTCTTCAAAACTGATTAAGCTCCAGTTTTCCATTTAGGATCCCTCCTCTTATAAAGTGTCATCCAACATGTGTTTGATAACTGCACAGTGAGGAACCAATGCAAAGGAGATGACCAGCAGCAAACAATAAGGAAAAAATTCTCCTTCTCTTTACTGGACAACAGTTGATATTCCTCCATTCTATCACATCTTGATGGCTGATGAGTTAAGAGGAAGGCAGGAAGCCAACTGTTGAGTTGCAGTACATAGCAATGAGTTGCTTGGAGGGAATGTGTCCTGCCTTTGGAACAGCTGACTAAGGAGTTTTAGAAAGTGTTGCCTGCACTATAGCCAGACCTTGGGTACTTGGCTCTGGTGATATGATGAAATTGCTGGCAACCTTCATGACTTACATATGCACTATGAGTAGACCTTTTAAACTTCACTCTATGAGGGATCTGTAAACATAAAGGAGGCAGTCAATAGTTATTGGAGATCCATCAGGGTATGAAGATGTGGAAGGAGTGGGAAGATTGCTGAACTCTGTAGGAAGCCCATTAACCTCTGAAAATGTAGGCTTGGTCCCTCTCACCGCGCTTCCTGATTTCAGCCAAAGGTTTGGGTTTCCCCTATAGTCAGTGACCAAAACAGCACTTCAGCAGTTGCTGTTTAGTAAGGTGAGAAGGCCTGGTTCCTCTCTGGTTCTCCAAGAACTCATCTCAAAAGTTATGACATCAGAATGTTTGTGATAGTGAGCACATGTTTCTACCTTTTACATCATTGGGAGACATCAAAATGCTTTCCTGTTGCCATTTTACTGTTATCCTTCCAAGTCGCAACAGTGGCAAGGAACTCAAGAGTTCCTTCTCAATAAAAAAAATGGCAGTGAATAGGGCACAGTCACCTATGAATGAGGAGAGTTAGAATCATAGAACTATGGAGCAGCCTGAGTTGAAAGGGACCCATAAGGATCATTGAGTCCAACTCCTGGCACTGCCCAAGACCATCCCAAAGAGTCACAGAGAATGCCTGAGAATATTATCCAAACACTCCTTGAGCTCTGTCAGGCTTGGTGCTGTGACCACTTCCCTGGAGAGCCTGTTCCAGTGCCCGACTACCCTCCGGGGAAAGAAGAACCTTTTCCCAATATCCAGCCCAAACCTTCCCTGACACAACTTCAGGCCCTTGGGTCCCATCACTGATCACCACAGAGCAGAGATCAGTGCCTGCCCCTCCTCTTCCCCTCATGAGGAAGTTGTATCTGCAATGAGGTTTCGCCTCAGTCTCCTCTTCTCCAGCTAAACACATCAAGTGCCCTCAGCCACTCTTCACATGACTTCCTCTCAAGGCCCTTCCCCATCTTTGTTGCCCTCCTTTGGACACTCTCTAATGGCTTAATATCTTCCTTATATTGCAGTGCCCAAAACTGGCGCAATATTCCAGGTGAAGCTGTCCCAGGTCAGAGCAGAACAGGACAATCCCCTCCCTAGCTTGGCCTACAATGCTTTGCCTGATGCCCCTAAGGACACAGGTGGCTCTCCTGGCTGCCAGAGCACTGCTGATTCATGTCCAACTGGCCATTGAGCAGGACCCCAGGGCCCTTTCCTCAGTGCTGCTCTCCAGCGTCTCATTTCCCAGTCTGTCTGTACATCCGGGGTAGCCCCATCCGAGGTGCAGAACTCAGTACTATTATTCTCATTCAATCACTTCCAGCCCACATAGGATGTGTCTTTTACTCAGAGTTTTTCCAGGTCCTCAAAAGATTACTCAGACCCAGACCTGAGTAATAATAACGGCCAGTCTTCGCGAGCGAAGATCCGGGGAAGGTCTTTACACCTTCCAGCCTGCGCATTGGATTTTTTAGGTGAGACACAGTGTGCGCGGAACTGAGCCCACCCTTTAATCCTAAGGTTCATCTGCCGGGGCCAAGCGAGCTTGGACGGTGGCAGCGAGGTCCTTAGGACGTAGGTGGGTTGCCTTTAAGGGCTAACGAGCCCCACCTGCCCGGGAGTGGCCCTGACCGGGAATCGAACCCGGGTCTCAGCAGTGATAGCGCGGCGCCTTTACCACTAGACCACCAGGGGCTCCCAGACCTGAGTGCCAAAATGCTAAATAGCTCTTCAGCCATGCCCAGGCAAACTGTGTCTGGACCTGAGCATATCCCAGCACCCCAAGGACTGCAACTTGTAGAAAATAATGAAAATAGTACCTCTTGGACACTGGACGAAAAGACATTGAAGAGTCTGTCCACATACATACAAAGGTGAAGAAAAGATTAGAACAAAAGCCATGTAAAAACCTTATTGAGACTTTAATTTAAATTGTATTACTGTTTCCTTGTGTTGTTATCACACAACACTGGAAATTCCTATAGCATTCTCCACCAGGGACTTAAAAACAATTAGTCCCTAGACTTGCTGAGTGCCCACCCCAACTCTGCTGTAAGCAAGCTCTTCCATGCCTTTCATGAGCCACAGAGGGAGGCTCCCATGAAAATGGGAGTGATGCCAAGGGTCCTTTCCAAAACGGGGCTGGGTGGGAGGCCTTCTGGATGTGAAATCCCAGGCCACTCTGAGGTTTGGAAAGCAGGCACTGGAAGAGCTGCCAGCACCTGCGAGGTGGTGGGAAAGTGCGGCAGGAGGAGACAGGGGGAAGCATGCTGTGAGAACAAGAACGCTAATGCTCCAGAACAACACATATGATGGTCAGTAGGCTCCTGCACAGGCACTGGGACATTTCTACTGGTGAAGAGGTTTCTGTCGCAGTTTTCTTGGCTGGTAAAAAGGTTTCTGTTGTAGGTCTGTCGTGTCTCTTGAGGTCATGCTGTTGCCACTATTCCTTCTTCTCGCAGTATTTCAGCTAGTCCTGTCAGTCCTTGTGATGCCTTAAGTCTCCAAATGTTTCCTGACCGGGCCTTGAAACCAGCTCCCCTCAGACAGCCTTAAGCTACAGGAACATTTGTAAGTTCATTTATTTGTCAAATTGCAGTTTCAAATTGTTAGCGTATTAGTGTCTCCAGCCCACTGCCATTTCAAAGACAAGAAGACAAAAAGAGAACAGAGAAAAAGTCCAAATATTTTCATTTAACTTTTTTATAATGAAGCATTTTGGGATAATGTTCTGCTTCAGCATTTAATTAAATGTGAGTTTCTGAAGCAGAAACTCCACCTTACCCCTAACTTAAAACATCTGATCCTGAGTGAAATTCTGCAGGCAATGAAGACTAGTGTGTGTGGAGAAAAGCAGGGGAAGTAAGTCATTAGAAAAAACAAAGCATTTAGGCATAATTCTTAAAAGGAAAGATAAGAGTTGCTAGTTACTACCAGGCTCCAGGTGTACCTCTGCCTGTGAACGGCTGCTTTCCTCTTTGAGCAGGTTTTGCTTAGGACACTCTGAGCACAGCTTCTGGTATTCCATGCCCATCTGCATTTGGAGGGGAACTGGCATTACCTCTGTTCATCTCGCTGCTGGAAATGGGACAGAAAAGCCCCGTCTCACACAGCAAGGCACCTACAATTAGATAAGGAACCAGGTCACTGAGGAATCATTTTCATCTCTAATCACTGGTCACATTTCACTCATAGGTGACACTGACTCTGAAAGCATCCTGGCACATCTCCTTGTGTCAAGATATTCCAGTCCTGCACAGCATGTCCATGCCTCTGTGAACCTGGTAAGTAACCATATCCACCAGCCCTTCAGACTCTTACAGCAGAAGTTGTTGTAGCATTAGATGTAAAGTCCTTTATTGTGAAATCTCTGCTGCAGTCTCTGCAATTTGGAGTTATTCTATTTGGCATTACTAGGGCTCTCACTGTGATATACTTTAGAATAATGAGACATCAATTCTCAGTCAAGAGGCTATTTAAAAACACTCCTAATTTGATGGGTTGTGCAGATGAATTAGTTCATTCAATGGAACTTTTGCCATTTATGCTGGTGGTGGGATGGGTGTTGTGTCCTCCCATCTTTGATATTCTCTCTTTCTTTGTACAAACTGATTTAAACATGACTAGAAATAACTGGCATGGTAGACATTCTTTTTAATCAGCTGAGGTCTAGTATTGAGAGTCAGACTGTGTGGGTGAGCACCTGTGGAAGAGAGGGGATTGTTTGGAAATTAGGTGGATCAAAATAAACTTTAAACATTGAATGTCTAAACAACATCAGATCCCTTTGGCTTCATGCAGAGTGATGGAGGGCTAAGCCCCATGGTATTTAGTGATGCCTGTAGGACCACAGCTTTGTCAGTAACAGTTGTGCTGTAGTTTTCTTTCTGCATGGATAATACCACATGGAAAAAAGAGCTTCCCCTCACTCCTAATCCTTCGAGGTCTTTAGTGAGAGATAGTCTGGCCGTTGCTTCTGTATGAAAGGGCAGAGATGCTACCAAGGATGCTGGTGGATAGCCAGGAGAACCCAGAGAAACAGGGGCTTTACACAGGCAAGAGAATGAGTTTCTCCAGGAACAGAAGAGCACTGCTGAGAAGACAGCAGACGTTTTTGTTCCTGCATAAGGCTATCCATTTGTCTGTGTGAAACATAAATGTGATGGTCAGACCTAGATCAAACAGTGTTCACAAGAGTCCCACTTAGCAGGAGCTAATAGCATCCCTAGAGATACCAGTGCCTTCATGGTTAAGGAGAGCAACCATATCGCGAACTGCAGGCAGGATGATAAGTAGTCATGGTTGCTGCCAAGCTGCATCTCCTCTGCTATGAAAGGAGGTTTTCATGCCTACAGTTGGTGATCAGAAAATAAAAAGTTTCACTGCTTTTGCCAGAAAGATCACCTGCTGTGGTCCCCTGTGTGAAACAGGTGGTAGGTTTGACAGCACTTATTGTTTATGGTGAAAAACTAAATTCCTGTAGGTGAGTTATTTTGGTATGTTTTAATTTTGTGAACAGTTTTCCATTTCAGTATCCCAAGTACATTAACAGCTACTGATGAATGAATAAAAAAATTGTCTCAATTATATACATGATGAATTCAATTCCAATGTATTTTACAGAGTTTTTCCTTCCGCAAGAATTGCGTGGTGGTATTCAAATGGTGGGGGTTTAAGACAAGTTGGAGGTTAAAAAAGCATATGAGATCTGTTAGACCTTGAAGAAGAATTGAGTGACAGGAACTGAGAACTTGAGGTTGAAGAGAAATGCCTTTGGATGTATTTAGCTGAACTGTTGTATCTTCACAGTGGACCTTAAGAATTGGGAGGTGGGGAGAATGATCTCATGGAGAAAACCACAAACACTGCAGATATTCAGAGATCATGCAGTTGTAGAAGAGGCTAGGAATTCAAATTATGGAGTGAGGGGAAGATGCTCATGCTCCTATTTCCTCTGTCTGATAATTCCTTGGATGGATTTGGTTATAGGAGAGTCCCCCCAGAACTCTGTCCCTTCCTGTGTCAGGACCAGAAGAGATGCGAACCTCTGAAGAGAAGCAGAAGTCAGCTTTAGAGTCAGCAAACAGAGCAAGAAAGCATCCAGGTGGAGCAATTTGTGGCCAAGTTCTCCTCTGGAGAAGTATGAGTAACTATCACCTTGGTAAGCAGTTCACCAAAGAGGTATCTGGAGTGGGTTGTGGTGTGACTGCTGGAACACAAAATTGGCATACTCTCTCCAGATTGGTGGATGCACATGAGCAGGAATGTCCTGTTCCTGCCATGAGTCATTTAGTTTGAGGGCTCTACATCTAAAAAGTCAGGACCCAGTGATTTAATATGGTGGTGTAAGTTTGGAAGCATTGTAAACATGAAGTCACCTCTGAATTGCTGGCTTTGATGGGTAAAGATCTCAGTTGTTCTGCTTGGAGTGGACAAAAGAGCATCTGTGAACTTCTGGAGGGCTCTGAGTTCTGCACAGGAAAATGGAGATGCAGAACAGAGGCTGTTCTGCTGCAAATTCATATTATGCTTTCATTCCACCTAAGCTCCTGGGAACACAAGGGAGTTCACACTGTTCTGTCATGAGTCTTCAACTCAGTGAACAACAACAGCTGGACATGTTAAGGCTGATGTCAGTTTCTGGATCCACTCCATTGGCAGTCTGAGTCACTGGTCTCTAAATGATCCTGTGCACCATGTGGGTGGAGTATAGGCCACTCAGGACTAAGGTAAAACTATTCATAGGTGATCCTGATTTTGTGTCAGAAAGGACCTTGCTTCTTTGTGAAGTTTTTTGTCCCTGCATGTCTGGGTGGCAATGTTTTCCCTCATCTCAACAATGAGATTTATATCTTTACCCTATCAGTATGTCATACACAGCACCTGCTTAGCTCCTTAGATAACCTGCTTACAGGTTTCAATCCACCTTCAGATTTGGCACCCTGGCCACCATAGGATGGCAAAGAAAATTTCAGGCATAACATGGATTGAATGACACATGTGAGACCCAAAAAGTCACATTTGTCAGGGGTAAAGCCTGGATTAGAGCCTTGGACTCTGGTTCACAGCTTGCTGAACTTATTTTATACTCTAGTCTGAAGGTGAACCACCCTAAAACCACCCATGTAATGAGTGGTTCTGGAGACTTCTTCCCAGTGAGGAAGGTGCTAGGCCATTGTTTATATTTCTAAGTGCCATGGCCTTGCAGTCCCTGGTGGATGCCATTTATGGAATCACAAGGTGCTCTGCTCAGCTTATAGTCAGCTTTAAAGAAGAGCCTGTTCTAAACTGCTTAGTGAGCACACTTGCATTTTGCTTGAGACCATCAAAAGAGGCCCACAAAGCTATTCACAAAAGAGGAATGAGCTCAAGAGAGAGAAAGATGGGCACTGTAGCTCAACAGAAGCTCGGCAGGTTTTGTGTAGGGTCATTGTGTGTAGGTCTGAGGCATCCCCTGCTCTCCCTTTGGAAGTGCACTGGGCCAATGGCTACAGCACAGGCAGTGCCAGCTGAGATGTGTATGGGCTGTAAAAACATCTTTAAAGCACGTCACTCTTTGCCATTTAAAAAAAAAAAAAAAAAGAAAAAAAGAAAAAAAAATTGAGATGCAAAAGCCATGCATTTGAGAAGGACCCTTACCAAGTATTTATTTACCATGTAAAATTGGTAAAAGGCTGCTTTTTTAATTTTTTCTTTCCCCTCCCCACTCCCTGTAGCAGACATTGTATATCAATTGGTTATTCTTCTCACCTTTTCCTTTTCCCTCATATTTTGCTGGGGGTGGGGGGTGATGAAGGAGGGGGAGTTGTTGCTATTGTTGTAAGGAAGATTCTGGAACCTGTGAACACAAAGTATTAGAATTTTAAATAATGACAAAAAATTCCACATGGAAAGCTCATCTGGCTGTGGCAGTTTGTGACTGAATGAGAGAAAAGTGCCCTAGAAGCTATTCATTAGGAATTCACTGGAAGCTCTCAAACAAGCCTGGCAGAAGCTGAAATTGAAGTGGTCTCTGACCTAATTTTCTTCTGCATGAAACATCTGCATCAAGGCACTCTTTGATGTATTCCACTTGGCTCTGTCTACAGTATTGTATCACATGGCTTCAGCGTTGCCTCAGTTTTAAAAGACATTTCCAGCCTGTAGAAGGTAATGTGATGTTACTGTTACCCAAACTAATCACTCAATGTGCTCCTGAAATAGAAACAATAGAGGTTCAGACAACGGTGTCTGCTTTGCAGTCGTTGTTGCTGCCTAAGCTCACGGTTTAAAAAACCCAGATCTGTGATATTCATCTCATGTAATTCATCAACACCAGGAAGGGGAGGGAGAAGGGGGGACTGTGAGCCTTCTGTGTAATAGTATGTCAGAGGACACAATGCTTTACATGTGTGAGCTTTGCATTCTTTGCCACTCCAGCCATGCAGTTAGTTTAGCACACTGAAAACAAAAACAGGGAAATGTTGGAGGACGTTATCATAAAGACTCAACAGAAGGAGCTCCTGGTTTTCATTTTGCTGTTTGTTCTCTGCTGATTGACACCCAAAGCTCACAGTGAAAGAAATGTGAGCATGTTTGTGTAGATGCGTGGATGATGTGTGATGTATTTTGAATATATATTTTTCCCCTCCTTTTCTTGTCTGCACCACAGTACACATTTCAGATCCTGTCTCAAGCTCCTCTCCAAGTGGTGTATAAAATATAGCCACACAAAGTATCTCTAAATATGTACACTTGCTTTTACACATATGTACACAGACAAATGATATAAGAAATTTTTAGGGTCACTTCTTTACTTTGAATGAATAGATTTTAGGCTTCTCCAGAAAGGTTTTCTACTCAGTCTTACCTAATGGCATACTGCTGTTTCCCCAACCTTGCTTGTATTATGTGAATAACTGTGGTGTCTTTTGTATTCCACCCCCTGAAGAAGAATCCTTTGAAATTCTAAATGACTGTGCTGCAGATTTTAATGTCTGTCTCTTAGAAATAGCCAAGCATTACCCACTCATGGAGCAAGACGAAGCAAGCCTTTTGAAAGTTATTCAGACTGCTTCCTCAGCCTCGTGAGAGAGAGTGTGTGTGTGTGTGTGTGTGTGTGTATGTGTGTGTGTGTGTGTGTGTGTATGAGCTCTCTAATTCTCTGAATGTATGGCAGGAATACATTATTTCCATGTGAATCATTTTCTCTCTCCTGTCCATCTACTCCACCCCCCAAATCTCTCCTACTTTTGTTGACATGGGAGAAATAAAACTAGCTGGCTAGGGATCTTGTGCAGGTCTTGTGGGGACAGCATGAGATGGGTTGGTAGCTTCTCAGTGTGGTTCCTTGCAGAGATCAGAAGGAAAAAGCAGCCCTACTGCTACTAATTAGATGCCTCCAGGGTAATCATAGCAGAAAAGTTACAGCCCAGAAGCCTCAAAATAGCCTGCTCCCTGGGGTCCTTTTCCCAAGTTTGGGCTGAAACACATCGGGAAGACAGAGTGGAAGGAAATAGACCCAATCCTGCCTGACTTCACAGCTAGTAGATACCTGTGTCCTCTTTCTGGTGCTGCTCCTTTAAGCCCATGTTTCTTTGCCTCACTGATGTGTGGAGGTCTTGAATCTGGTAGCAATGGGTATAATTAATTCCTTATACAAACAGCTGCTCCATCCCATTGAAAGAATGTGTTTTGCTGTGCTAGGAGTTGCGTGCACTATGACAGCCAGCTCCAGCTCTGGAGGACTTCCCTAGGAGTGCACTGTCCAGACACGATGGGGGCAGGCAGGGAGAGGTGAAGGAATGTACTCAAGGTCACACTGCAGTAGCCAGGAAGCAAACTCCACCTCATCTTCTGGCGGCCAAACTGCGGCACTTTGAGGTGGGAACACCCTGTCTCATCTTCTGCAGAAAAGCACCAGGCCAGCCCTCAGCGCCTGTTGCCAGCAATAAATCTCCTTGAACTAATTTTGTCAAGGACAAAACCAACACTATGTGCAAAAAAAAAAAAAAAAGGCCCTTTGCATGTCTGTGTTTCTGGAAGGTCAGAGAGGAGCAGGGACCCCCTCTGCTACGATGTTCACAGATTATAGCCCTCAAAGTGTTATTTCAGAGAACATATTTAAATAAGAAAAGTCAATGTCTTCTAGTGAACACTGAGGTTGATTTACACTTCTGAATGGATGTGGCTGGCTGTGGATGGTGCCTGGCAGAAGCTTATCATGCCCACTCTAAAAATAACAATCTCCAGTGGGCAAGATCTGCTCACTCAGACACAGACTTGGTTCTCAAATGGTGGCATGACATTCAAAAGTGTCTGAGAGACACTTTTGGCAGGTCTCTCATGCTGAATAATCCAGAGAGGTCATGGCAGAAGGGCTTGAAGCAAGTGGCTCCTGCCCAGGGAGAAGCCAGTTTGTTCCCCAAGTAGGGGAGATCCTGAGGGATGCTGGGTTTTCTCCCCTCTCCCTCTCCCTCTCCCTCTCCCTCTCCCTCTCTCCTCTCCCTCTCCCTCTCCCTCTCTCCTCTCCCATCTCCTCTCCCTCTCCTCTCCTCTCCCTCTCCTCTCCCTCTCTCCTCTCCTCTCCCTCCCCTTCCCCTTCCCAATCTTCCCTTTCCTTTTCCATTCCCTTTCTCCCTGCACCCCACCCCCAAATCACTCCTTTCAACCCCCTTTTCTTGGTCCCCCACCCCTGCCTTTTCTCTGGGTTTTATGGTGCTGTCAGAGATCTGCCTGGTGTGGGGGATAATCATACCTTCCAAGTGCTCCCCAATGAGCCTCTGGTCCTTAATTAAGCTGTTGACCTGAGCTCTGGAGACCACTGTTTTGCAGAAAGCTCCAGCCTCTTCACCAGTGTGATGCTTCCTCTTTATCCACCCCCTTACATCTGAACCCTGGAAGACAAGCTGGGTTTTGTCTATTCATTTGGCAGATGGTTAGATTCAGATCTTACAGGAACATAATGCTAGAAATTGAGTGTGTGTGCATGTTTGTGTTTGTGTGTGCTGGAGAAAAGATCCCAGATCATTTTCTTCCTCTGTGGCCTTACAACTGCTTGCAGTTTCACACAATCTCTTGTAGGTAGCATGAATAAAAAAGCTGCCTTCCCCCTTCTCTTTTTAATTTCTCCCCTAAGTCTGTGCTGTATATACCAGCAGTGTGGTCTAGGCCAATGCTGAACATTTGTGCCTTGGACAATAGCACAGCCTGGCTTGACTATTATCAGCTGCTGTTTTCTGGTTAGCTTTCCTTTTATTCAAGTGCACAATGCAAGCCTTTATCACCCTTCAGTCATAGTGACTCTTGAGGAATACATCTGGTTTTCTCTTTCAGCAGCTCTGAAAAGGTCAGTCTGTTCATTTCTTATTCGCAGGACACCACATTTTTTTCTGAGCTGGAAAGACAGGCCTACACCTTTTCATTCCGTCTCGTACATAATTAGACATGGTGTCGCTCTAGAAACCTACCCTTGAAATCCTCCTGAGTAACTCTTTCAGAGACAGAGGAGACGCAGCAAGGGAGCAAGCGAGTGGGGGGACCACTTCCATCCAGTCTTAAATCTCTTTGTGTGGTCACAAAAGCGCTTCCCCAGCTCTGCCAGCCTGGCTTTTTCCTCTTCTTCTCCTTCTTCTCCCTCTCCTTTTCTTTCCCCCACCCCCTCTTTCCCTTCCTAATGCTGGCAATCTCTTTATGAACACCCCGTGCAAGGCAGGGGCTCTCACAGAAAAAAGTCCTCAGATCATTTGAGCAAGGAAGGTTGCAATCGTTTTCCCTTCCGTGGCATCCCACATTCTTCAGGCAGGCTGTAACACAGTAACAAGTGTGCCCAAGAGGACAGAGCTTGCAGCAGCTGGTGTCTGACAAATTATCTCACTCCAGACAGGCAAATGGCAACTTGAGCTCCAGCCTTCCAAGGAATATGTGTTTTGGTTTCTCCCTCCATGCTGGGTAGGGTGGGCCAAATCCTCTTGGGGTGGAAATGAGTGTCATGTCCTTGGAGCAAGAGGGTTTCACCTCTGCTGGAGGTCATCGTTCCCTTCCCAGATGCTGTTTGTGAAATTCAGTGTGAGAAGTATCAGACAAGGCTGTCACAACTGCTCGGGCAATGGCAGCTTCTGCTGCCTCTGTGCTGAGAAGCAAAACAGTTTGAGAACTGGGACAGCCCCCTGCTTCTGCTGAGGAGTGACTGCCAATATCACCTGATTTCTTTGTGCCCATTCTATTTTTACATGTGTTCATGGTGATGTGGTTGCAATCCATCAGTGCAGCATTCCCAGGATGAAATCCTCTGCTCTTTTGTCCTTTGTAAACATCACAGGAATTGTATACTTGATGCAGGGCTTTTTCCCAAGCAGGGGCAATCCCAACAAGTTGAAATCTCAAAACATTAAGTGTGAATCTCTAGAAATCACAGTCACTAGTTTTGGGTTTTTTTGCTGTTACCAATTTCTGACTTCAAGCCAGATGTGGATATGCCCCATGTCCAGAGCACCAGCAGTTTCCTGTAGTGCTCAGTGGAAGCTGGCAGAACAGGAGGGGGAAAATGCACACTGGGAGAGAAGCATCAAAGTGGTTGATGCAGGTGAGTGAAGAGACTTCCCATTTCTACCCCAGCAATTCCAGGGAGTTGGAATCCTAAGTCCTTTTCTGCGCAGCTGAGCCCAGACAGATTGCCTTGTCCAAAGGAGTTCACAGCACAGTGAAAGGAGAAAAACAAGCTTAAAAGAGGAAAATTAATTTGCTACCACACCACACTACTCCATGAGCTAGCTGTGAGACTAGGAGCAGACCCTCCTCCCCCTGCATCTATTTATTGAGTCATTGGACAACATAATCTCTAATAGACAGCCCCCCCTAGTTAGCTTTGCATAGAGGACTTGATGTACTACTCCAGTATGGCATATGTGTTTAAATATCCACCTTTCTTATTTAAGTGAGTTTTGTGTTTTAAAACTAGGAACAGGATAAAGACAGAGGGGAATTTAGTTTCTGGTATTAAATGTCTGATTGGTTTAGAACTATACATATTTTATGTATATATATTTCAAATTAAAACCTTCTGAGACTTTCATGATTTACAGTCCTTTAGCAGTGAATAATGGCTTTAGGACACAGAAGGAACATTTGAAATCTTTATTAAATTTTCTATATGATAACTTCTTCTACTAATACAGTCAGACTTTGGGTTTTATCAAGAATCCTGATTTTCAGGGGTTTAGAACAATGAGGTCTTAAAACCTGCCCACAGCTACAATACATTTTTGGTCTTATCACACCAGGCTTACAGTAAATTGGAATAGAAATTAGAAAAGTGCAAGAGCGGTTATGTCATTTCTGGTTACTTCTTGTAGAATGTCATAAAAGTTCAGAGTCTTGGCCTACTGTAAAAGATAATATTCCTTTCATCTCAGCATTGCGTATCTGACTATTTATGTTTTTTCATGATGCTGAATTATCACTGCCTGCACATGAGAAACCACAACATGAAAAGAAAGACCTGGACCCTGGCTGAAAGCAAGTAATCACCCTCACAATGCCCCTCTGTCCTGAGTAAGGATGGAAGGCAGGTCTAGCTTTAAAAGACACCTCCTTCTTTAACATCTTATGGCAGCAAGTTTCATAAGATTTATGCAGAATATAAGCATCTAACTGTTTGCCTTGTGTTATTCTTTTACAAGCACTGATTTCTACTGATTTGTGTTGATTTGTGTTTTTGGTGTAAAGGAAGCCATGGCAATTCCCTGTTACAGAATGTAAAACTACACAAAACTTTTTTTTTGTCTTTTTTTTCCCCCTCTCTTTTGTTTTTGTTTTGTTTGTTTGTTTTTGTTGTTGGTTTAGGGTTTTGTTTGTTTGGAGGTTTTGTTGTTATTGTTGTTGTTATTATTGTTGTTACTATTATTGGTTTTGTTATTTTGAACCAATGGAGATGTCTGTCTCCAGGTGCAGCTGTAACAGAAATAACAATGAATGTCGTAAATTACAAGTATGAGACACACTAGTAGAAACTGATTTGATGATTTTGCATTAGAATTGTTTTCAATTTGAAAGATGTTGAAGGATGTCATTAAAATTTCTTTAAAAAATTAGCTGGTTTTGTGGTGGTCAAGGGTGTAAGACCAAAAGGAAGCATTCCTCTAAGGAGCGGTAGCTTTACTGTGGCTCTGATAGTCTCAGAACATAAGCAAAAGAAAGCTTATTGTTTCCAATTAACTTTTGTGTCAGAGATGGTCTAACAAAGACATATCTGATTTGGCTCAGATAAGTCGTTCTTAGCTTTGAAGTACTTCAAATATATAGAAAAGTTAGAAGAGTGGAAATATTCTCTGCTTTTTTCCAACTGCACCTGGCTTGTCTATTTAAACATATGACTACAACCGGCAGATGGTTTCTACAGCAAGGTCAGTTTGATATTTCTGGAATACTATTCAAAAAAACCCTTCAATTTATGGGTAGTTTCCAGATTTTCATTTCAGCTGGAGATGAGTGACGTCAAATCTACTGTAATTTCTTAGCAAAGGTAAAGTTGCAGGTTTCCACCGTGTCTTCTACAAAGATGGACAAGATTATTCAGACATAGGCACTGTAGTTCAACATTAAACGTGGTTTGCTGACTTGGGAGGTGGCTGAGCAAGCTCATTTGTGAATGAGTAGCCACAGCTACAAACCAGAGGTGTGCGTGCAGCACTTTCTATGTTTTGGAGAACACTCTCATTCTGTGAGAAGCCTTGGAGAGCTTTTGAGCATCCTTGCTTCCAGCATTTCTGCGTAGGAAAGGCAAGAAATTCTCAGACAAGAAGCCAGAGCCTTGTCTGTGCCTCTCTCTCTCTACATCTGTGTGTCTGTCTGAAAATGCATGTAAAGGTAGGCATATGCATTTACATGTGCAGTGTGTAAATAGAACAGCCATTGTCTATCTGGGCATCTTTCATCTTCTTGAAATTTAGGCTGACTTCAAGCAGGGACAGTGAAATACTTCCTTTGCTGGGGGCCAAACTGCCTTTTTGCTTCTGCTCTTGGTGGACTTCCCATGTGCACATCCCTCAACAAAGTCCAGAGTTATACTTTCCACCTCCTGCCTATTCCTCCCCTCAAAATAATGTGTGCGTGGACATGTGACATGAGATTACAGGCTACATCCAGCACACCAGCTGTAAATCCCACAACCTGACACAACAGCATCAAAAGGCTTTTCAGTTGTTTTAACTTATTTTTCTTTCCAGTCTACAAATCCTGGTCAGACTTCATGCTGAAGTATTGTATTTTCTTATTTTTCCCCTCCAGAATTATTTATATGTTACCATTGTAAATGCTACTGGGTTGCTAATTAAATGCTATTTAGAGCTAGAGATTATTAAGACTTCTGCATAAGCACCAACAGTTTTCAAGTATGTTGACAATCAGATAGATATCTTCAGAATTTGATTCAGAGGAAATGGCAACAAAAGAATTATCTATAGAGTATTTTTGAATAATTCATCATTTCACGAATGTGGAAAACAATCTCCTATGTTTAGGGATATAATTGCCATCCTTTTATTGGAATCATATATAGGATTTAAAGTGTGCACCCACTGTTGAGCCTATCTATATAGATCTGGGTGGCCAGATGAAGTTCAAAGTCCAAATATACATATAGTTTTAGAAAAGGTATCCAGTTTGCTCTGTCCACCAAAAGCAATGAAGTTCAATATGCCACAAAAACCACAGAACAGCCTTACTAGTCTGTGGGAAAACAAAATATCAGGTCCAGTTCTGGCATGTTCTGGAGGCCCTTTCCCTGTTCAAACGAACAGGACAGCAGAGATTATACTTCATAGTGTAATATCGACAGACTCCAAG